TGGACTTGCCAGCATGTGAAAAAATCTAAGTTTGTGTTGACATGTGAACATATAACGGAGGCTAATAGTGCACATGTTGTACATGACCTTTTGACATTAAATTTTGCCTCATTTCCTTAAGTTCGAAAATATGAAGGATAAAACCCCATATATTGTAATATGAGGGATAAAATGCCTCAAAGTCGAAAAATTGAAGGGCAAACAGGAGGTTTTTGCCATGAAATAACAAGTAATATGCGTGGACAGTGAAATGGACTTCAAACATTAATTCTTTAGGAATCTCCTTATACTCTTATTATATGCATTGTTTAACTCATAAAATACAATTGGCTCTTATCACTGCAACTAGAGAAGCAACTATTTTTATGCGCTTTTTTTCAGAATTTGATTTCTATGATTAACATTGAGGGTTCTTGCAACCATCATGATGAATTGCAAGTTACATTTGCATATGAAAATGCTGGTTTGGTTGAAATTAATGAAATAGAAAAATATAAACATGCCATTTTTTCTAATGGGTCCGTAAATGGGCAACTTTATTTTGTGGCCCAAAAAATTGACTCAGCCTGAAATGTCATGACGAAGACAAAGCCTGCATACAAACCAACACTTTCGGGCTCGAACCGAACCGAACCAAACCGGCGCCATCTCTACCACATCACCACGCTATATATATTCATCGCAAAACCCTAACCGTGGCCTCCTGTCATCTGCTCACCGCCTGAAGCACAAATCTGAGAGCAGAAGCCGCATCTCAGCGCCGGGAGCAGTCTTCGACGATCAGCCATGGGTAATCCTCCAAGCCTTCTTCAGATAGTCTGAGAATTCTTAATTTTACTCCCTAGTTTAGTCTGTGCCCCAAATCTGATCATTTTACGGTGGATTTCCAGGTAAGGTTCACGGATCTTTGGCTCGTGCCGGTAAGGTGAGAGGGCAAACCCCCAAAGTCGCGAAGCAGGATAAGAAGAAGAAGCCACGCGGCCGCGCTCATAAGCGGATGCAATACAACCGTCGCTTCGTCACTGCAGGTTACTTTTAATCTCCTTTTATTAGCTTCGATTATATGCCAAGAACTTATACCGTGGGTTTTACTGTTGCATGTAAATTTCAATTGGGGATTCAATTAGGCCATCTGAGCTGTATGTTGTAGATTTATTTATTTTCTCTGTTGCCAAAATGGAATTTTTTTTCTTTGGGTGTTTTTCCCTCTTTCTGTAAATGAAGAACAAAAGAAGCTTTTGGTTGTGGTATTCTGATTGGAGAAAAAAAACTGTGGTATCAGATTTATGGACTTGAGCGGCATTGAAAGTTTAAGGTAATGAAATACATCTTAAGTTATGAGTCTAGATCAATTTGCAAGTATGTAAGCAGAAGCAACTCTTGCACACACTTATAATCTCCAATGTAGCTAATATTTTGAAAACCCAACCTTTGGATTGATTATTCTGTTTGTAGATATGCATGGCAAGTTTAATTCAATGGTTAGTTTTCAAAAATATTAGCACTTCTTATTGGTTATTCTTATTTGATCTGGTTTTGATTTTGCAATGATCTGCTACCATAAAAATGACACTACTTGGATGTATTATTTTTTTAAAATAGAAAGGCAATTTTATGGAGCCTCTGAACAAAAATGTTGAATCTGGGATAGAATTATGATATATTTATAAACCAGTTAAGGATCTGAATTTTCTTTTCTGAATTTGTTTTATTGTTCTGATGTTTCATGTATGTTGCTTTTGCTTGCAGTTGTTGGATTTAAGAAGAGGGGACCCAACTCTTCTGAGAAGTAAATCTTGAACTGACGATGGATTATGTAGGTGAAGAAGCTTGGTGGAGACTTCGATGGATTTTAGGTTGTTTTGTCATCTGATACTGAGTTACTTACTAGTGTTGTGTTGAACCATGTTTGAGGGATATCTTCATTTTGTTGGCTATAGATAATGTGATTTTGTTTTCAATTACATTTATTTATGGCTTTTATACTTCAATTTCAATCTTTTTCTCTTGGTATTTTGAAATTGGAAAATTGACAATCCTAACTTGACATAAAATAAGAATTGCGGTTGCAAACATACTCAAAAAGTTTTGGAAGGTGTGTAGGTCTGGTCACCAAAGGTTATTGTTGTAAGATAAAATTGATGATCGAAAGTGAGTTTATCACTTTATCATGTTCAATCTTATGAGGTGGTTGTAGCTTACGCACGTCAATGCCCTAAGCATCGTTTGGGATTATATGAAGTGCTGTGGCTTTTAAGTATTTGATTATTAGAAAAATTATGTTATTATTTAATAATTACTCTAAAAAAAGTGTTATATGGCAATATGATTAATAAATTATGTGAAAGAGCAGTGCTAGGGGCACTCGCCTCTTGCACTCTCCGGCCAACATTTTCCCTTTCATTGGGCCACGTAAGCTTGTTCCAGGTTCTGAAGTGTCATCTCTTACCGACCAGAATAACGTGGCCCAATAAAAGTGAAAGTGTTGGCCAGAGAGTGCAGAAGGCGAGTGCCCCTAGCACTTCTCTTATGTGAAATATTAATTTAAATTAATTTAGTCATAATAACTTGGTATTTTTAAAGAGGTTTGTCAAAAAGCGTCGTGAAATTGGAACTCCGAACATAACTTAAGCCAGCAATGTTTCAAAGTTTGACGGTAATATTTCGATAATGGCCATGGAAGGAGGAAAACGAGAGAAAAATGATGCAGAAGACAGGGAGAAAAAATGAGCTTCGAGTTGGCAAAGAAGACCTTTTTTTCAAAGTCCTTTAGAGATTGTTATTTCTAGTGAAAACTTGACAAATATGTATCTCTATCCCATCATATTTGTTTAAAAACTTATAAAAAAAAGTTCTTCATAATTATGATAGCTAATAAAGTGATGTTACATAATTATTAAGATAAAGAATGTCCCTCAATGACTTATAACTTTGTTGGGCATATTTGTCATTCATACATGAGCCCCATTGTCTTGGCCTTTTACCTTGTCATCTAGGTTGGAAGCGCTAGGTTGAAGGCTAGCTAGGTAACTCCTTAGGTAAGCTTTCTTGCCATACCTAAGTTAAGGTCGCATGGTTCCATAGGTCATATGCAAAGCTTTCTAACTAGGTCTTGAGGGTCCTAGAAGACTTAATCAAGTTTGCTTGAAAAAGTTCAATGGGTTTGAACCTTAGAGATAAGAAAGGTAATCTTTAAGCTCATATGAACCAATGAGAGCCTACCATGTGTAGGAGTATTTTACCTAATATCAGGCAACTATAAACTCCAATGGTAGAAGTAAATTTATAAGTGATCCCAGGGCATATTTCAATTTTCATAAATTATCCTAAAAATTCAAAACAATGAAATGATGCCATAAATTGCCATGAATAAGAATATTATTGACATCAAAACAATTGTTGATGATAAGCTAAACATATAGAGTACTTAGCAATTGACTGTACGTTACTAAAATCAGTTCATGAATAGATAAGAAGTCTACTAAACGTCGAGAAAATCTAATTTTAGTGCATGTGGTTCATCAAGATCACTTATTGACGAAGTTAATACGTTCAGAGTTCATCATGGAAACTTCTTTCTGGTTCATCCTCGAACATTCCTTCTGCATTAGTATGTTTGAGAGGATTTTCCAGTAGATAACTTGTGGCCAAGGATGCGTGGAGCGCTGCACCATATGGAAGTGCATCCTCGTTGATTCTGTAGTAGGGTGAATGTCCTGATTCAAATTTCCCTTGACTCTCATTCTTCATTCCGAGAAAGTAGAAATATCCCGGAATTGCCTCCGTATAGAATGAAAAATCCTCTGCTCCCATTAGCGGTTTCTTTTCTAAGATGTTCTGAACACCCAGCATGTCCCCTGCTACTTTTCTGAAATATTCATGCAAGACTTCATTGTTGGTAGTCACGGGGTAAAAGGGCCTCTCGTCTGTATTAAAGATGACTGTTGCATTGCACCTCTGTACACTAGCTTGTTTTGTGATAACCTGTCAACTTGACATTGTCAACATCCATGAAGAGTCACGTCTGTAAATACAAGGTAAATAAATTACTCCTGATTCAATTATTCTCCTCTACCTTCACACATCACAGCAGGGAAGCCCAGAATAAGAAGGAAAGCATGCAATCATTTCAACTTTTCAATATTTAGTTCTCTTAAGAGTCTGAAGTAGCCAAAAATTGGAGGCCAGTACTATGAATACCTCTTCTATTCTTTGCATTAGTTGACTGAAGCTTTCTTTTGAAAATGCTCTGAAAGTCCCACCAATAGTAACAGAATCTGGAATGACATTAAATGCACCACCTGCTTGGAATTTTGTAACGGAAATCACCTGCAAGATTATGTTTTTCCTAATAATGGTAGTGCCACAAGATGTTAAGAGGAAAGGAAGGTAACATGGAGGACTACTGCTAGATGTTTGTTGTGTTGAAAAGGAATGGCAGAAAACAAAATTTTCAGGAGTTTCTGACAATGCAGGTATTGTAGCTGTCTTATATATGGCAAAGGGACACTTTCTTTTTCCCTCCGAGTAACAGTATAGAAAAGGAACCTAAATTATGAAGCAAATCTGAATATGATGGGAGCAGAAATGTGTTTTTCAAAAGAAAGAGCAAAGCTACCTGTGAATCCAAGGGATCAGCTTCACGTGAAACGAGGTGTTGCAAATTGAGAATCACATTGGAAGCTGTCAAGATTGGATCAATTGTAAGTTGGGGAATGGCAGCATGACCCCCCTTTCCATTTATTACAGCTTCAAAGAACCCATTGGCAGCCAAAATGGGGCCAGGCCTGGCGGCTACAGCACCAATAGGATATGCAGATGAGACATGCAGCCCAAAGATGGCTTGTACATTCTCCAGTGCTCCAGCATCCAACATTTTCTTTGCTCCACCACCTCCTTCCTCTGCAGGTTGGAAAATCAGAACAACTGTTCCCTATCAAAACAACAATTACTATGTTAACATTGTCTTCTGTAAGACATGGAAACACTATTCTTAATGGTCAACAGAATAGGAGAACCATGCTTTTCATCAGATTCTTACACAGAAAAAGGTCAAAGCTGAAACAAAAATGAAGACTTAATAAAATTTAAGGAATCAGCACAGATGCATTCTTGAAAAGGCAATTCTGTTACAATGTTATGCTTAACAAAACCAATGTCTTGGTATTTATGCTCCACTTCAGAATGCACCTCTAATACTCCAATAGTTTATCATAGGAGAGAATGCGATGGAAAGAAGTAGAACAATTGCATGTCAAGTTCTGATGGCAAGTTTGGTATATTTCATGTTAAGAAGCCCATCTACGGTCTGTACCTACTATGTAATCCTGGATCTTCCTTCCACTGACTTTTGTGCAAATGAAAGTTGGAAAGAATGATGTTCAAGATCTCAGAAGAAAAGTCACAGAATTAAATCATACAATTAACAGGCTAGCATATAGCCTCTATTTGCTTACTCATTAAGCATGAAAAGCCACAAGATATGACTTGGTATTCAGTATTCTGGTTTTTTTCCTCAATTAGTCTCAAACAAAGTTCTCTCTTTTCTTTTAGGAGAACAAAACTAAAGCACCGCTTTACATACTGCAACTGGACTCAACACATTATATGATCAAAGCAACACAGGTTCAAGCAATCGTAAGGTCAAATCCCAATCACAACATTGTATTTAAGTCTAAAGCAGTGCTGTGACAAATATGTTGCTAATCCATCCCTAACAAAAGGTTTCAAATAGTTTATAAAATACCATCTTTTCAAGAAATCTAGTGCAACAAAAAGGCCTACATGCTAAGATGAATCAAAAGGAACCTTTGGCTGAATTAATTTAAGATAAGAGCAATAACATGAACCCCAATTGAATGAATCTATATCATTAATAAGTAATATTTACATCATAACAAAAGATCAAGAAACAAAAATACACCAAGGAACCGCAAGGAACCTGTAAATCATGACGACGTTCTTGAAGCATATTTGCAGCACCAAGAAGCATAGCGACATGAGCATCATGCCCACAAGCATGCATTTTACCAGGAACTTTACTCTTGTGTTCCCACTCCACAGCCTCCTGTAAAAGTCAAAACCCGTAATTCTTTCTCTATTAAATAGAAGTATCGAACTACAGATGCGGAAAAAACAAACAAAACTGAAAGAGACCTCCATGGCTAGAGCATCCATATCTGCTCTAATGGCAACAAAGGGAGGGCCACCGGTGCCAACAAAGGCAACCACACCAGTAACAGCTACTGGATATTTATAGTGGATACCCATCTTATCAAGCTCGGCTCTAATAAGCTTACTGGTCTCAAATTCTTCGAAACCAAGTTCAGGGTTTTCATGTATCTTCCTTCTAATCCCAACCATCCAATCCTTAATTTCTGGTTTCTTGGCAAAGTCAAGGAAATGAAGTGGGATTTGAGCTAACTTCTCAGAGGTCAGTGTGGGATTTGAAGAAATGGGTTTTGGCATAAGAGAGTGAAGAACTAAAATCAGAAAGACCCATCTAAAGGGAGCCATGAGCAACTACGAATTCGGGATTGGATTTAGGTTCGAAAAGGAAGATGCAAATTGTTTTACTTAATCCCGAATTGGGATTGTCAGATTCTTAGCAGGAGGCCATTGGTGTTGGCACACAAAAGTACGTCATTGCAACATTAAACAGATTTTTTTTTTCAGCCGTGACCGATGTAGTGATGTAAATAAACTGTTGACATCCTTCTGTTTTTGTAAGTTTGCTTTAAAATTAAAAATTAATCATTTTTGAAAATGATTTTTAACACAGGTAAAAAACTGAGGTGTTTTTTTTTTTAATTAATATTTTAGTATCTAATAATTTCATTAACTCTCGAAGTAATTCAAAATCGAAACACATTACATCATATTAAAAAAAACTCTATTAATATTTATTTTTCCGTTTGTTCGTAGTGTAACTTAATATTTTATTTAAAAAAAATCAAAATTTTTTAAACTGTTAATTAATTAACGTGGATCCAGAGCCTGCAAACCGATCAAGCGGTACCACGTGGGAAGCCGTGCCACGTGGGAAGCAGTGACTTCAACGCCGTGAATATGATGTCGAACTTAGCTTGTCCCACTTCAACGCCAACACGGCTAAGGAAAAATTAGAATTCCAAATAAAATCTTTCTCTCTCCCTTCATCTTTCCTCTCCCTTTCTTTCTACTTCATCGATCCCTAATTCGTCAATTTTAAGGGTACGAATTCGCATCTATTTTTCTTGTTCTTGATTCTGTAATGATTTTCAATTTTGATTGCGGATTGGGCTTTTCTGGAACTGTCGATTGTATATTAGGGGTTTTATTATTGATCTGATCACGTCGGTGATTGTTTTCGAGCAGGAGGAGATCGAGGTTGAATCGGTGATAATCAACCATGTTTACCAGGCTTTTTGGGAAACCTAAGCAGGAAACAAATGCCCTGACCACGTTAGACAAATTAAACGAGGTATGTTCGGTGATCTCTATTAGGTTTAATTCGGAATTCAATTGTTCTTTGCGATCGGATGTGACTGTTTGCGTATCTGTGGGTTGAGAATTTGGATACCAATTTTGTTTATTTCTTGTGTGAATTTGGCGTTGATGATATGATTGGACTTTGAAATTTGCTGGAAAGAACTGAACTGTAAGCTGATGGCAAGCGAGATAAAATATAAGTGTTCTCGTTAATTCTTGTTATCCTGATTGATGGCTGGGGGCGAGGAAGGGACTGTGACTAAGCTGAAAAAGCTTGATGTTTTTAGTGCTGTTTGATGCGTTCTTAATCTCTTTGTATGTAGTGATTCGGAATTTTATTATTTTCTAAATAGTTTGAAGTGCATATTGCATATCTTTATGTGTTTCATCTGATTGGTTTTTAGTTTGCCAATGTAAGTTGTGTTCTTCTATTTGGGTTACCTAACCATTTCTTGTCTTCATAATGTAGACCCTTGAAATGCTGGAGAAAAAGGAGAAAGTGCTAGCCAAAAAGGCTGCTGCTGAGGTTGAAAAGGCTAAGGAACAAGCCAAATTAAGGAACAAGAAAGGTATGGTTATTAAGTGCATGCATAATTACTAATTTTCTTACATGGTTTTCTTGAAATTTTTTATGTATAAACTCATCAACTTGTATTGAGTGAACTGGGTGTTATGAATTTGATGTATACGGGAGTCCTTAAATTCTTTTTCTTTTTTCCTTTTTATTCCTTTTGTTTTGTGTGCATCCTTTCTATTACTACTTCTGTTTTTGGCATGGAAAATATCATTTTGTTTTTCCTCAGTGTTCAATTTTACTTGAGATACAATTTACAAATCTTCACCTCTCATCATTCACACTTTTATGTTGTGCAGCAGTTTGTCTTGTGTTCAAATTTTTCTTCATATTGTTGAGAAAAGTGGTTTTGTTATGACTTGTTATTTGAAATCATGTCATGTACATTATTATCAAAATTTTAGTTGCCTATTTATCAATCACTTATTTGTTTTTCTCTCATGCAGGGGCTATACAGTGTTTGAAGAGGAAGAGACTATATGAACAACAGATAGAACAACTTGGAAATTTCCAGTTGCGCATTCATGATCAAGTGAGCTATATATTTCAGATGGTTTTAACAGTGTTTGGGAAATTTTGTTTGGTGTTTCTTCTCATGCAAATGCTATACTTACCACATATATATTCATTGTACAGATGATCATGCTAGAAGGTGCAAAAGCCACCACTGAGACTGTAGATGCATTGAGAACAGGGGCATCTGCAATGAAGGCCATGCAGAAAGCAACGTGTGTAGCCATCTTTTTTCATCTAGCATTTTCCTTGTTTCCAAATTGTTTGCTTTTAGGGTTTTCTCAATTTTATTTGTTGACATTTTCATTCTTAATGCTTCTGGATCAGTCACTCTGTTGCTTTTCTCTCTCCCTCTCCCTCTTCATATGTTTATCCTTTCTTCATATTTGTTTTGGAGGATTTATCCATCTGTATAACTATTCAATTTTGTTTGTATCTTTTCTTTAAACATTATTGGTTTTTCTTGCTTGCAATGTTATTACTTTTTCTTTGTGCTTCATGAAGCACAAACAAGTAGTAGCAAATATTGCCAAAGTCATAATAATCTCATTATGAAAAACTGCATGGTGATCGTTATTTAATTTGCTCAAAATTATTGGGTTTTACAGGAATATAGATGATGTGGACAAGACCATGGATGAGATTAATGAACAAACAGAGAACATGAAGCAAATTCAAGAAGCTCTGTCAACGCCCATTGGAGCAGCAGCCGATTTTGATGAGGTTACATTCTCTGTTGCGTTTTTCCATTTCATATCTTTTGGGTCATAACTGATTTATATTTATTGTTGATGCTCATCTGTCAAGTGAATCTAAACTTAATTGCTGGTGCAGGATGAATTAGAAGCAGAACTTGAAGAACTTGAGGGAGCTGAGTTGGAAGAACAACTTCTTCAACCTGCAACAACTGCTCCTGCAGCTCCAGTGCAGGTTCCTGCTGGCAGGCAACCAGCTCGTCCTGCTCCTCAAAGGCGCACAGAGGAGGAAGATGAACTTGCTGCCTTGCAGGCTGAGATGGCACTTTAAGGTAAATTCATTCTATTTTATCATTGCAGTATTTACACTTTCCCTTGGGATTATAAAATAAATCAAAATATAGTTGTTGACACTGGACAAGGCCACTCTTTAATGCAGATGAATTTGTTTTATAAATGCAGGCATTTAGACTTAATTTCGATGTTCAGACCATTGGCTGTCATGCTGGGCAACGTGCAAGAGTGTTTAATGGCATACTGTATCATTTTCATGTCCTACTTCGAAGGTTTGCATTTAATCGTTTGACAGACAATGTACATAAAGATTGCATGAACCACCTCCCCTATTTGTATTCTACATCATGGAGTTTGTTTGTCCAGTATTGGATCTTCATTTTCTTTTCTCAGTTGGAACTTCTTGTTCTACTATGAATCCAATCCCGAAATAGCCTTTTCAATCACTGTTAAATGAGTTAATAGTTTTTAACTTTCTATATCATTCTGTCAGAGTATTTCTACTTTATTGTTACACGTGAGAGCATCTTTTTGCTTAGCATCTTCTCACTCAGTTAAAACATTTGAATTTGAATTTGAATTGGGAGTTTGTGATTGCAGCGTTTGAAGGTTTACCTTTTATAACAAAGTACTCTGATTTTTAAGTTACCTTTATTATCAACTCATGATTAATAGCTTGTTTGGTCTGAGGATGGGGAGA